GTCGCTCTCTTCCTTCAGCTATTGCAGATGAAAATACAACAAAAGCAGTTATTAAACTTCATTACTGGTCACGGGTGAGGTTTGGGTATGGAGAGAAATCCCCAAAAATATCCAGCAAAGGACAGTATTAATGGCATCAATGTAACACAGTGACTCGTAAAGCTTTTTACACGTAATATGACATCGGTTCTCCTACAAATGTAAGTTGCTTTTGAAAATCTTGTGTTTTTTGTAGCAAAGTCTGACATATTATGCCATTAAAAATCTAGGATTCAGAATTTTGGGAGCTTAGACATCCTGCAGTTGCAGCTTAACGTTTCCCAACTGAAGGTTCATGAAGTCTTATAATTACAAGCAAACGATGTTATTTCTCCACACAGGCTATTACTATATAAATTAGCTGTGTGAGAAAAGGTAAAGTATCTTGGTTTGGAAATGTTTCTAATACTAAAATACTGAAACAACTACCCACTGGTACAGGGACAGGGACAAACTGTGAGAAATGGAAGAGATGGGAGTACCAGATCTTCCTGACTTGGTTTGTAATCAGCATCATCTTCATCATCAGAGTCTGGAAAATTAAGGTCAGCAAACTGAGGCTTGGGTTTCTTGACTGGAGACACAGGCCAGACAAACGGGACCTACAAATCCAAAAAATGGAGACAAATTTGAAATATCTCCAGAAAACAAAAACATTGACATGTTTGTCCATCACAAGTCAATCAAAAGATCAAAGGTCAATTCAAACATCCGGACACATAACGGGGGATAAATAAAACAGAGGATTTTGTCATGGTTCATTTGAATAACTTGTGAGTCGAAAGACCTGTGAGAGACCTTGTGGGGACTTCTGAAGACTGATGGGTAAATCTGAGGTCTCATTGGGACTTGTGAACACTGATGAGGATTTGTGGGGAATCCTAAGGGCTTGTGAGGACTGATGGGAACCCGTGAGGACTCGTGGGGACTTCTGAGGACTGATGGAAAACTCTAAGGTCTCATGGGGACTTGTGAAGACTGATGGGGATTTGTGGGGAATCCTGAGGGCTTGTGAGGACTGATGGGAACCCGTGAGGACTCGTGGGGACTTCTGAGGACTGATGGAAAACTCTAAGGTCTAATGGGGACTTGTGAAGACTGATGGGGATTTGTGGGGAATCCTGGGGACTTGTGAGGACTGATAGATACTTGTAAGGTCTCATGGGGACATGGAAGGACTTATGATGACTGGGCTACAGTGAACTTAAGCTAAGGTCATTTCTTGGGTACGTCCAGGATTGTCAGTGTTACAAGACATGAGTTAGCGTTGCATCATACTTGGACTAATCCTTAAGATACAGGAAGAAAATCTAACACATAATTACATGTATGTACAGGAGAAATTTCAATTACCTTTCCAGATTTTTCAGAGACTTCCTTCAGCTTAGCTCTTGTCATCTTGGGCTCCTGTGTAGAATAATACCAGACACTACAGTGATAATTTTGTCATGTACATACTTGTATTAAAAATAACCTTACAAAGGAACTATAAAGCTGATTTGTTTTTCTGCAAACATATCTAGTGTGGAAAGTGTCTGGATTACCAGGCTGAAATTAGGACACCTATCAAACCAACTATCAAGGCTAATCAGAATGAACGAAGTGCTGACTGTCTTTGGACTAACCACTTCTTCATATGCACTTTCTTCTTACAATTTGCCATATTTCTCTATTTGAAGGAAACATTTCAGACTTAAATGGAAAGATTCCATGAGGAAAGTTTTGGTAATGTGAGATTGCTAAAAGAGGGAAAAACAACTCCACTGAAGAACAAGATGTTTCTTTATTGAAAATGATACAGTGTTTAACCCTAACCCCCTAGGCTCCATACTGAACCTCACAAAATCTAACAAGTTCATGTACATGTCAATGTACTTGTACATGTACATGCAGGTTACTGTAACAAACCTGATAAACTCCAACAGAATGAG